ATTTCTCTCTCTCTCTTCCTCTCTCTCCCTCCCACTTTGTCTGAACAAAAAATGGAAAAATGTCCTAGGGTGAGGATAAAAAATATATATATATATATATTTATATAATAGCCATTCAGAAGAGGAGAGGACTGTATTTCGTGCTCACTTGAAGGAACAAATAAGCATTCGCTACACATTCAATCCCAGTCACGTTCTTCAACGCCACAGAGTCGGAGTCTCAGCCTTCTGCACAGTCCCTGGTTCTTTTTGAACGTTGGCTGCTGAACAGCATCATGACCACCGTTGCTCTTTGTGATCCCTACCTCTAAGCTCGGCCCTCTCCCCTCTAAAATCAGCAGTGCAATTCCAAAGCATACAAAAGAATTTTCTATATGCAGTTCCCAATTGCTTATACTTGTGGTTTCTTTTTTTTCTTTACTTGCAGGAAAAAAATATTCCTGAAGTTAATCAGCTTTTTTAGGTAGTTTCTGACTTACAGATGCCTGAGTGCGGGACCCATGACTAGGTCACGCCCATCCCTGCTGGCTTTCAAATGTTGATGATCTACTTCAAGAAGTGTGGCTGTTTCTTTTCAATGTTTAAACAAGTAAAGCACGATTATCTTATCATTGTAAAAACAGCATAGAAAAATTTAGGGTAAAAAGTGGAAGTCCTTCAACACCCCCTAATTCCCAAATTTAGTTTTCTTTCCCAAGGAAATTACTCTGTGCGGTATGAAGCTTCCAAAACTTTACTTGTGGATTTCTATGCACACAGATGTGTGTATACCAATTACGAGGTTTTGCATTCAGTAAACCATTCTGTACATACTCAGTAGCTCTTTTCATATAAGTTTGTTTTGGAGAGCTTCCCATGTAGATTCCGTAAATGGTGGACATTTAGGTTGTTTCTAATTATTTGCTCTTACAAACAGTGCTATAATTAACATCCTTTTAAATGTCTCTTTGTACATATGGGCAAGCATTTCTTTAGGGGAGCTATCTATGGTTTGGCAATTTCTGCCGCCTTTAATTGCGTTGCCTGCTATCTGGCAGACGATCTTCCGCATGTACAATAAGTTTTCATGTCCGTGCTCCATTATAGTGTAAGTTTTAAAAAGAAGTTCTAGGCGACAATTAGGAATCTAAGTTTAAGTTCAAATTCTGTGTGGATCACTGTAAGCAGCTGAGGTGACACTTGAATGAACAGATGCACATGGCTAAGTCACCTGTGCATGGGCAGTGGTTATGGGGAGCAGATAAGGTCCCCCTCCCCCAAACACCCATTGTAAGGCAGGTCGTGATTTTGAAAACATTAAAATATGAGAAAATACATCTTAGGACAGAGGAGTTAATGGTGTCTTATTTTCACTAAACGAATAGTCTATTGCTTCACCCCCATATTCAAAGCATCCTTTCCCTGTGAACTGATACAATGACTTCACCACAAACTCATCCCCCCGCAGGTGGGTGTGTCTCCGGACCCTTAACTTGATGGATTTCTGTGTCTGTTCCTTTGTGTCTGTGCTAGTCCAGGGACAAGCTCTCCTGGGGTCTTATTTTGAGAACTTTCTTGCACATGTGTCCTTTGTGTGCTGCTCTTTCTTCTTACCACACTGTCCCTCTTGCACGGGGCACTCCGCTAGCTGTCACACCCGGCATTGTCACATCACGATGGGTCTCATGTGAGAACATCTGCAGCCGCGAGACCATCCCCTCCTCAGGACCTGACACTGAGCTTGCCATCAGCATGAGGCACTCTCTCTCATTCCCTCTCATCCCGTGACATCTCCCAGCATCGCTGTTCCAACATCAGCTATGCCTGAGTCTTGATGGTGTCAATCTGAGTTGAAAATGTGCCAGCTTCCTTAACATTATCACTAACAGACTGCTTAATTAACCGCTGATACTGTCAATAGTAGATCTTGCTGGTGTGCTAGGAAGGAGACTCGTGGCCTGTGGCTGGTCCCTCTCTCTCTCTCTCTCTCTCTCTCTCTCTCTCTCTCTCTCTCTCTCTCGCTTAGGCTTTCAGTGTCCATGACTCAGGAGCTGGACTTGCCAGGAAGGGATGGGGGAACCAGGGAGGGCTGGAAAGGAATACAGCAGAATTGAATGTTCTGGATGAGATCATGGAAATGAAATGACTGAAACAGGCCAGCAATCTCATGGCTCAAAGGTGACAGCAAGTAACCTGGGCATACAGCAGGTGCCCAGTAAATGGACAACCAGTATACATAGTCAACAGAAGAGATTACCATTTGAGTAGGCAGTAAGAATGGGGGTGTTCCAAGGAGGAGCCTGGGGTTGCCATCACTCTGAGTTGGCTTTTAGGGTTTGCTCGGTCTCTGTTGCTATCCAGACAGTGAGATGAGAGGGCAGCTCCGTCATTCCAAACAGTGTCCTGGAGGCTGTCTGAGGGGAGGGAGGCTGGGTTTTCACTTCCTCTCACACTTGGACTTTTGTATCAAGTCCCGCTCTGTCCTGGTGTGGCTACATCGCATATCTGAACATTGCAGAGAGCAAGTGAGGTGCCACCATGAGCCTAGGGCTGGTCGACCATCACCTCCAAATGTCTCCTCCCTTTGTCACTCTGTCTCCTACACACACACACACCCCTGGGGCTAGAGATGTCTCGGCCGTTCCTTGCTTCCCTCAGCCTGGTGTGAGCACCGGTGCAGAGGCTGTGAGCCCAGAGATCCCATGGAGACGCTTCATGCCGTCCCCCCTTTTACCCCCAGGGGAGTGGGAAGGGAGGCAAGTTTGCAGAGTGAGCTGGCAGCTCCTGACTTGAAGCAGATGCTCGTCCCCTGGACCTCATTCTTGTCACCTCGCCCTTCCTAGAACGGTGGCGGTCGCACGGTGGTGGTGGAATGTTCTCAGAGGCAGAGACTGCCTTTCAGGGCGGAAGCCCCACCATTCTCTCCAGTGGTGTTGTTGGGTCTCCTGGGAACTGTGGGCCTGGCAGCCTCTGGGGAAAGGACACAGAGCAGTCCTCTAGCCACCAAAGGGGTGTCACCAACACACAGGCTGGTGCCCCCTTCCCAAGGCCACTGTGGGGGCCCTCCCTGGACCTGAGCCCTTAGAGGACCTGGGGCTGGCAGGAACTCGCCTCTGAGGGTGAGGAAGGGGAGATTCGGTGTCAGGATTAGAACCCAAGCCCAGCTTGGGCCTCCCAAGCTCTCTTCCTTGACCTCAGATTCACTTTCCAAATTCTGTCGGTCTCCAGATGTGTGTAACACAGGGATTTTCACTACTGACATTTTGAGCTGGATAATTCTTTGTTGTGGGGGCTGTGCTGTGCATTGTAGGATATTTAACAGCATCTCTGGTCTCTACCCTCTAGATGCTTATAGCAACCCCCTACATACACACACCAGGTTGTGATCATCAAAAATGTTTCCAAATGTTGCCAGATGTCTCACGACATCGCCCCTGCTTGAGAGCCACTGTATGAAACAGGTGAGCATGTCTGCTGCGTGGATAGGAGTGGCCCAACGCAGGGGGTCTGCCCACGGTCACCCCTGCGCTGAGTGTCTTGTGGCAACACGAGAACTGCTCAAAGATGGCGTATGTGCTGTAGATACATTGACAGCAGTATTTGGTCTCCTGCTTTCCTCTCCGAAGACTGCAGAGTCTCTTGGTCTTCCCTCTGTTCCACCTCTCCACGTTATTGAAAAGGAGACTGAGGCTCAGACACCCCAGGGTCTCCAACCCCCTCACCGGCAGAACCCTGTCCCCCAGCTGCAACCACCCTGGACCCCTCTGCTCCCCAGCGTTGGCTCAGGCACCAGGAGCATCTGTGGTCCTCCTCCTCCTCCACCTGCCCACGAGGCCCTGCAGCCCTCCAGCTCCCCAAACCCTGGTGCTCCCCCCCACTGGAGGGAGTGGGGAAGCAGCAGGTGTTGATGCTAATCAGCGTTCACAGCCCAGAACTGCAGTCGCTCCCAGGCTCACACACTCCCCAAAATTAAACACTCATTATACAAAATTAATTGACATTAATTAGCAAAAATTAAAACTTTAAACACAGCAAGGCGCTTTGGGGGGAGGAGTGAAGCAGGCGGGCTCCATATTTGTCACCCCCACTCCCGACCCACCCACCACCCCCAAGTTCCCCCACTTTCGTCCTGGAGCAGGGCTGGAGGAGTTCAGGCGAGGTCAGCACCCACACCCAGCCTCGGGCCCAGGCCCGGACACGTGAGTCCCAGGTGAGAGGAGCCGGAAGAGGCTCCCTGTGCTAGTCACCAGCTGATGGGTGGCCCCCAGACTCCAGCATCCAGTGCTTAACCTCAGGGCCAGGAGGCCTCCCCTCGGCCCTGGTCCCCAAGGTGTCAGTGGAGAGGGGTGGGCATGGCCAGAGGAGGAAATGCAACCATCTGAAGCAGGAAAGTAGAAGGTATTCCTGCCTGACCCCGCCCCCTTTCCCCGTCTCCTGGGTATCCAAGGGACCAGGCTCTGTGTCCTTTCGGCTCTGCCCCACTTTTCTATGTGACCTCAGATAAATCAACCCCACACACCCTGAGCCTCAATTTTTCATCCATATGATGAGGGGGTGGTGCTGGGTGAGCACTGAGGCTCCTGCCTGCTCTGGCACCTGCTGTCAGGGAAGCAAATCCCTGGGAACTTGATTCACTCTGAGGAGCAAGGCGTTGCTGATGGTGGAGCACCAGGCACCAGTGGGGTGTCTTTAGGCCAGAGAGCTTCCTCCCAGATGGACCACTGTTTGGCCTGCCTGCAGGGCCCATCTCCTTGCTAACTGGTGGCTCTCCTGAGGCCTGAATGGTTTCCCCTTCCTCCCTAACACTGGTTATTTTCCACCTTTGCTCACCAGGTTCCCTGGGGCCCCCAGATCCCTCACCAGGCTGATAGGCACCCGAACCACACCTTTGCTCACTGTATTTGCACCTGTTGCTTGGGCCAGGGAGGCTGGGGTGAGGGTGGAGCCCAGCGGTCTTCTCTGCCGGGCGGAATGCCATCCTCCTTCCCTCACTTCTGTCCCCTGCTCCCTTCTCTCTCCAGCCAGCGCCAATATCTGCAACGTGGTCCTGATGCGGTACGGGGAGCTGGAAGAAGGGATCGATGTCCTGGATGGTGATGGCAACCTTGTGGGCTCCTCCAAGATCGCAGCCAGACATGTGGGTCCTCCCAGGGCTCGGGGGTCTGGAGCTGGAGGGGGAGCAGCTAAAGGGGGGGGGTGTTGGTTTCCCTAAACATGATCATTCCTCAAAGACTATTGTCCACAGCACCCTTGCTTTGTCCCCTTAATCCCTCCTCCTGCCATCTGTATGAGCCCCAGCCTGGAGGTCTGGCCCAGCCACGCCTGTCCCCGGACATCCTTGTTTCTCTCCAAATGCCCTCTCCTCACCACTGTGAAAAGTCCCTCTCTCTTCTGCCGGCCCCTCCAGACCCAGCTTCTCTGACCTGTTCATTGGCGAGGGCAGAGCAGACCCCAGAGCTTTCTCTTCCCTCCCCAGGACCTAGGACCCCGTCCCCTGGGCCTGCAAATCCTCTTGGGTTACAAGAGGAAGTGTGGGACCGGGAGCGTTGTGGTTCTGTGCTAATATGGACTTATGCACCGGCCGCTGCCCCCGCCAGGGAGTGTGGCTGTGGTGCAGGGGTCTCAGGCCTGCAGGAGGCCATGGGGCTGTTTGGGAAGAATATTTTGTTTTAAGAAGGCCCTTTTCCACCTCTGGTTTCACCGCGTACCCACGCCAGCAACTGTAATATTTTTTAAATTCCAGGCTATTTGAGCATCTCCCTACACTTTCCAGCCTTCTTCCCAATGGTGACTAGTGGCTCCTCCTGCACTGGCTGCCAAGTGCTGGGACAGGGGCTTCAGCTGTGAGGTAGCGAGCACTTCCTTCTGCTCCAGGCACTGTGTCCTCACCCCAGGGCCTGGGCCTCACCTCTGTCCCTGAGGCCTTCTCCCAAAGCCGCTGCCCCCTGGGAAGAGCCCTCTCTTATCCAGTGCCCCCTCCGGCCGGCTCAGGGACAGTGAGTGCCCAACCAAGGCTCTTAAGGGGAAGGGGCTCAGGCTGCCAATGTCAATGCTGCGTCCTCGCTTCCTGCACACTGGCTCTGGCTCCCTCGTGCCCGCTTGGGAGACTGGAGGGCCCTCTCCCAGGCCTTCCTGAGGCTGATCATGAAGGACCCAAGGTCCCGGGAGAAATGTTCAGCCCTGGGCCCATCATCAGAAGGGCTTTGGCCTCAATTTCCTACCTGGTACCAGCCTCCTACCCAGCCCCAGGCTCTTTCTTGGCTCTCCGTGAGGGAGGCCGACAGTGGTAGCTCGTCCTCGTGGTCCAGGAGGCAGGGAGCCCCAAGCTCTTCTGCAGCTGGGTGTTCCCCAGCCTGGCTCTGTCAGCCCCTTGCTGTCTCAGACCCAGGGGCCTGGGGGCTAGGAGTCGTTCCTGGAGGGCTGGGACCTGTGGGGTTAAAGGAACTCCCCACAATGACTGTCAGAGTGCAGAAGTGCCATTGAGCTGTGCCCTGCGATGCCCCCTGCCCAGAATCCCAAGGGAGTCCTCAGAGCTAGGCCCAGGGAGAGCCCATTCGGAGACTCCGCCAACGTCCGCAGAAGCACCTCCCCCTTACAAGGCCAAGCTCTGGTCACCAAGAAAGACTCGTCCAGAGCCAGGAGACACACGGTCTTTTGAATCTTTGCCTTTAAGGGATGTAATAAGGGGGGGTGGGATCCCGGAGTCTCTGTCCTCACTCAGCACCAGGAACCTCCCCCGGCTCCTTGGGCCCAGCTGTTTTCTCTGGTCCTTCCAGGGCCTGCTTTGTTTTTAGCTCTCTCAAGTTTTCCAGATGCTTCCTCCCAAGCCCCTGCACTGCCACCCACCCGAGGCCCTCCATGGGCACAGGCCCCTTCCTGGGCCCGGTCTGTGTGCCACCCCTCCCCCCACGTGGCCAATCTGCTCTTCAAATGTGTGTGCTGAGAAGGTGGGGGTGGCTTTTCTCTGTTGTTCAGAACATGGCTTCGTGAGCAATTCCGTGAATGATTCCACTCAGCCAGGTGTGCTTAGCAGTGCCACACACACCTAGGGCCTCTGGTGTGGGCTTCGCTGCCAGGCGGCTGTCCCGGACCTGGGAGCCCCACTCACCGTGGCCTCTGCTTGCCCCCCAGGCCCTGCTGGAGACGGCGCTGACACGAGTGGTCCTCCCCATGCCCATCCTGGTGCTCCCTCCGATCGTCATGTCCGTGCTGGAGAAGTGAGTGGGGGCAGCCAGGACGGCGGGGCCCCCACGGGGCGGGCGGGGGGTGGCTAGCCCAGGGCCAGGGCTAGAGGGGCAGCTGGCAGCCCATCCGGTCTGTGCAGACCCTCCCAGGCAATGCTACGAATCGGTGAGAATTCGTGGACTTTCAGTGCGTAGGACTCTGTGTCAGGTGCTGGGAAGGCTGCCCCAACTTGAGGAACTGGAGATTCGGGGGCGGGGGTGCCTGTGCACGGGTGTGTGCACCGGCATGTGTGTGTACATGCGCTGTTGGTGCACGGTGCAGGACCAGTTGTGAGCAAGTCTGAGGCGGAAACCTGGAGCTGGCACCCTCCAGGCACCTGCCGTGGGCAAGTCACCCACGGAGCCTCGTTTCTCCATCTCTACACCCACAGTGCCTACCTCCCTGCCGCCCTCAGACGGATGTTCTGAGAACACATACTAGTCATGACTGTGGAGAAATAAGGGAACACAATGATAAAAAAAACAATGAGAGAGTGATTCTATTAATTAATGAGTGTGAAATGGAATCGTGAAGACTGAAATGCTGCTCGAAGGAGGAGCTGAGCCGGGAGAGAGGGAGGGGCTGGGCCCATCTTCTTGTAGCTTGGCAGGCCCTGGGGATAGGGGGACATCTGGGAGGAAAGGAGTGGGAGAGAGGCTAGGTGGGGGGAACAAGATGGATAAGAGCCTGGAGGTGCAGACCTTTGGCTGGTGCAGGTAAAAAGGCAGAGGTGACTGCTGTCTCCCTCCTGGGGGCCCAGCCTGGGATAGGGCACCTCAAGGCAACTCATTTGGGCCTGGGGGTGGTGTAGGATAGAGACGGGGTTGGGGGCACTCCGTCTGGGACTCTGGGGCAGGGCATTCTCCCACAATACGAATTATAATAACAGCTCATATTTATTAAGCACTTGACTACATCCCAGGCTTCAGTCATGCCTCTGCCCAAATTCCATCTCAGAGAGGCCCTCCCTGACACGCATGGAGGTCACAGAACCCCCTCGCCCCTTTGCCTTATTTTTATTCACAGTACTTAGCAATATCTAAGATTCTTTATCTAGTTGTTACCTGTCTGCTCCCCTAGAATGTAATCTCCATGGAGGTAAGTCAGCGCCTCGATTTACTGCTCTGCAAAGCACCCAGCACAGTTCCTAGCACACCGTAGATGCTCAGCAACAGGTTGTCGAATGAATGAAATGAAAGGTATCAGTTGACCGTCACAACAGTGCCACGAGGTAAAGATGGCATCCGGTTTTACCGATGAGGAGAGGAAGGCAAAGGTTTTATCATCTGCTTACATCATACACTAGGTCAGGCGGAGCCAGGAGTGGCCCGGGAACGTGGCTGCCAAGCCGTGCTCGTCCTCCCACTCCGGCTGCCTCCGGGTCTCCACACCACACCACGTAATCAGCTCGTCTTGGTGTCCTGTCCTGCGGGGACACCGAAGAACAGATTTGGGGCCTGATCTCAGAAAGCCTGCTCAGCTGCAGGTGGGATGGGGCAGTGTGTGAACAGGACCAAGGTGGCTTTTTTTTTTTTTTTTTTTCTTAAGAGAGAGAGGAAGGGAGAGGGAGACAGATAAAAACGTCGATGAGAGAGAACATAGATTGGCTGCCTCCTGCATGCCCCCCACTGGGGATCAGGCTCACAACCTGGGCATGTGCCCTGACCGGGAATCGAACCAGCCACCTCTTGGTGCAGGGTCGACACTGAACCACTGAGCCACAGCGGCTGGGCAAGGTGACTTTGAGGGGAGGGAGCACTATGGGCCCAGCAGCAAGGAGGGCTGGTCCGCAGGAGAGGGGCTGCCATTGACTGAGAGCAAAATGGGATTTTGGCAGAAGTGAGGGCTTTCTGGGCAGCACGTGGGCCTGTTGTACAGACAGCAAGGAGCCAGGCGTGCACCTCAGGGCTGGCTGATGTGGGGCCCTGTGGCCCCGGGGGAGATGATCCCTTCCTCACCCTAGAAGCCAGGGGAGGGGGGGGGGCAGGGTACCTGATCAGGGCATGGTATGATGAGCACTAGGACATAATAAAATCAATCTCGTTTCGGGAGTTGCAAAATTAAACAGATCCTGGGAGAGCAATTGCTTCTGTGCCCATGACCCTTGTAGACTAGCTGCCCCGTGAACTGAGGCTGTCCCCAAATACCAGCCACTGCAAGGACACACAAGGACACCACAGGACAAATGAGGAAGGTAGGGCTTCTGTCTTCCAGGCTGCGGAATCCTGAACCTGAAGTTGCTGGGGGGGGGGGGGGGGAACGTGGTTTGTGGTGCCTTCCCAGTTGGCATCTGAGTTGTGTTTGGAAAAAGTGGAGTGATGGTTAGTGTCCCATTTCTTTGGGAGCTTAAACTCAGCTTTGAGAGGCATGGAGGCGGGATGGGATGGTTCTAGTTCTGAACCTCCCTGGCCTGGGTTCTGCTCAGTCTGGCTGCCATGAGTCTGGCTCAGCTCCAGGTCCAAAAAAACCCTTTGGGCATGCAGAGACAGGTTGGCTTTGTACTTGGTTGTACTTTGTACTTGGTTGGTCCTTCCCTGAAGCCTCTTGGAGAGCCTCTGGGGAGAAGAGAGTCCAGCCTGGGTTCCCCCAAGAATATCAAAATGAAAAAGACCCAGTTTGTGCCCTGAAAGACTCACTAACTAGTGTAAATGGGGGACTACAAGACTGGGTGGCCAGAGGGCCCGTGCAGCAGCACCAGCTGACTCCTGGTAGGAAAACAAAATCTGGGTTCTCGCTCCACCGCTTTTGGGCCGAGCTGGTCCAAGAGACTCCCTCAGCCTCAGTTTCCCACCTGGAGAAGGACGATTCTGCCCTCTTCTCCACTTAGTTCCCTCGGGCTTGGCACCCAGCAGGCCCTTGGCTCCTTGCAGGGGCCCCACGGAGCACCCCAGAGCCTTTCCATGCAGGGGTGCTAGTGGCAGGGCTCTGCTGAGGAGGGGGCCAGGGAGGCAGCCGCACCCTGGGAGGGGGAGGGGCCAGCCAGGGGGAAAAGACAAAAGCACACTTGCAGAGCAGCCTGCTTGCAAATTAATGGAGCGCAAACTCCAACTGCTCCAAGTGCTGAGGGAGCGCAAGGTAGTGGGGGCATGAGCTGTTGTGTGAGGGGCTGAGCCCGGCTTGCTTCACCTCTGGCCTCAGTTTCTCCTCTCTGCCAGGGGCCCTCCCGTGTGAGGTCCCTGGGTTTCCTGCTAGGATAGAGGTGGGCGCCAGGACGTTCAGGTGTCGCTGGTTCTGAGACTGAAGAGAAGTGTCTGAAGTCAGAAGCAGAGGAGCCTCAGCTCTCAGCCCAGAGCACAGGCCTCCCTCTGAGGGGGCTCCCACCCCCGCAACACACCTCCTCACCCTGCACAGCTTCAGGGTGCTGAGGAGGAAGCTGGTTTTAGACCTCAGGCTGGGAGGTCACCCCCTCCCCCATAATCTCCCCAACTCAAAGGCAAGAGCAGCCCTGCATCCCTGGCCCTGGAGTTCACCTTCCCCCACCTCTACCCCAGCCTGGGTCTCAGCTGGGTCTGGGTTCAGGCCACACCCTCCATGGTGGTTCTGGAGGCCGCTCCTGCCTCCCTGTTCCTTGGGATCCGGGTCTTTCCTTTCTCCCAGTCATTCGCACATCTCTCCATCTGCATATTTTAACTCCCCCAGCTGCCTTTCCAATCCCTCCCTGCCATTTCCCTCTCCTCCTCCCCTCCCCCGGCCTGCTGTGTCCGCCTGCCTGCGCTGGGCTGGGACTTCCTCCTTCCGAGGCTCCTGTTGGGCTGCAGTCTCAGGCTTGGCTCCTTCTGGGACTTCCCAGACCCCCTTCCCAGTGGGGACTTCAGCCAGCCACCCTGAGAGAGAAGCCAAGGTCACAGCCCCACGCAGAAGGGGGTCTGTCTGGTGTCACTGCCGGGAGTTCCCAAGGACTGCGCGCATGGCCTGCCCCTCACCTGCCACCTTGTCCCCCTGTCACCTTCCTCGCCCTCAGTGACCCTTGGGGCTGTGCCTCCAGGGACTTCACACCCTCCAGTGCCATTCCCCCTGCTCTCATCCTCCTGAGCACTGAGGTCCTGTTCAAGGCCACTGGGACCCAAAGCCGCTTAGAGCTGAGCTCCAGCCCTGTGTGCAGGTCTGGAGAGGGAGCCCTTCCCCCACCTCCTTGTCCTGCTGGAGAATCCATCCTCCTGAAGAAGGTCTCAGGGTCCAGCTCGGCCTTCTCTCCTGCTGCTTCATGACTCCCACGGAGGCTGTGGGCTGAGTTCGTGGCTGGTGCGGGGCTTGCCTGGAAGAGAGGGAGAGGATGGGGCCACTGGCCTGAGGCCAAGGGGGAGGTCGGCGGGGCTTGAGTTTGATTCAGGCACCTCTGTCCTGCTGCTCTTGATGCTGTGGAAACTTCCCTCTCCAACGGCTCCGTTCAGGCTTAGTTCAACAGCTAGCCGGTCTTGAGGTCTGGGCCTGGGGCGGGGGGCTGGAGGACGCCACAAGGGTCCCCCCTCTTTCCTGCGAGTACAGGGGCAATGACAGTGCCCAACTACTCAGCACGCTCTCTGTCCAGGCCTTTTTCCTGCACAGAATTGACAAGTAATTGCATCTGATTGATGCCTTAGCAGGAACATTCTGGGCCAGGGTTTCTCAAAAGTGTGGTCTGGGGTCGGTCGTCTGGTTTAGACTCAGAGAGGGTTGTTTGAAATGCAGGTTTCCAGGTAGTGTACCAACTGAATCGATTTCATGTGGAAGGGGCCCCGGGGAGTCCGCATTTTTACCCAGCTGCCTAGACACTGAGTTTGAGAACTGCTGCCCCCTAGTTGCTCTGCTCAAGGCCAGATGCTCCTGGGATTCTTGGCTCAGAAGGTGAAGGTGGTGTGAAGTTCGCCTGTGCCGCACGGAGGCCCTGCCCCAGGAGGGTCTTGCCTGCCTGTGGCCACGGGCAGCTCTGCTCCGGAGGGGCCGGGGCAAGAGCCCTAACTACACAGTCTTCATTCCAGAAGCCCGTCACGGGCCTGTGGGGCTGATGCAGTGCCTGGGGTCAGATTTAGCCCATCCAATACCCCCAGCAAATCGTCCAGTCGTCCATGCTGCTGGCGCATCCGCCCTAGACTCCCGAGCAGAATGCTCGGTGCTCTTCACTAGCGGGTCTGCTGGGTTGTACAGAGGGAGGCCCTGCTGGGCAACTGGGTGAAGACATGTCTGCCAGCTCCTGTGGCCCCCACGCGTCTGGACAGCCCTTTTTGTCATGGAGCTGGGGGACCCAGGGCCTGGAGGGAGGTTTTTCATACCCCTCTCCTGCCCAGGAATCCCACCTTTGACGCTTGTCATGGAGAGTGGGTGCCAGCTGCGACATGCTGGTGGTGAAGCTGGCAAAGGGTCCTGAAGGCGGGCTCCAAGGGCAGCGCGGGGTGGCCCACTCGCAGGGAGTCAGGAGCCCGTGCAGCAGCCCTGCTGGCCCTCTGCAGACTTAGCCTTGGCCTTGGGCAAGTCACTGCCCCTCTCTGTGGCTCTTGGAATGAAGTTGATGAAGCAGTCAGTGGGGTACGTTCTGTTCCCACACGTAGGAGAGGGTCGTCCCCTCCTGGCTGTGTGTATGTATGTGTGTGTGTATACATGTGTATCTATATATATATGTGCGTACGTGTGCATACATGTGTGTGTATATATGCACATGTGTGCACCCATGTGTGTGGTTTGTCTCCTCCTCTGGACTTGGTACCTACTCTGGTTTGCTGTTCATCATGTGCTACCTTCGAAGGCGATCTTACTCTCCTGTGTGTCTCCCCAGGAGCAGGGGCTGACAGCCTCCTCTATCGTGTCCCCATGTGGCCTTCTTGGCACAGGGCTGGACATACCGTGGGGCGTGGGAAGGGCCACTGCAAGTGCTCATTTATGATTTATGGCTGAGAGTTAAACCAGCAATGTCCTTCAAGGCCGGGCTTGGGGGCAGGGTGCCATTTGGGGAAGACCCAAAGACAGAATTCCACCACAGCTATTTAGCTACGGGCTGGTGCTGGCCCAGAACTGTGCTGCCGTGGTCTGGGGGTTCTGAGTAGGACCCAGTGTGGTGACCAGGGGCCTGCTCGTCCTGTCTTCGGGTCTCATGGGCTGCCTCCTTCTCTCCCACAGGACGGCTCTCCTGCAGGCACGTCCCCGGCTACTCCTCCCTGTGCAAAGTCTCGTGTGCCTGGCAGCCTTCGGTCTGGCCCTGCCTCTGGCCATCAGCCTCTTCCCACAGATGTCAGAGGTCAGTGAGGGGAGGGGCTAAAGGGCAGGTCCGGGAGGATGCGATTAGACAATTCCTTAACACTTACTTCTTCAGCGCGGGGACTCCTTTGCTCTGGGCTAGGTGCTGGGGTTGGGACCAGGACTGAGACTGACCTGTGGAGCTCAGGGTGAAGCAGTGAGCACAACAATGAAACAGGGAACAGAAACGGAGGGGTGAGGAGTGTTAGGATGGGACCAACCCAGCTGGATGTGGGAGGAGACTGTAGGGAGCCCCAAGGGAGCCTAGAGGGAAGTGGCATTTCCTGGGACCTGAAGATGGGCTGGAGTTGGCTGGGCGCACAGTGGGTGATGGGACACTTGGGCTGAGGTCACCGGGGTGAAAGTACCGAGCTGAAGCAGCACACAGACAGCACACAGTGCATTCCAGAGCGGAGGGAAGCCTGCATCTCAAGCAGAGAGTGGAGCAAGATGAGGTAGGTCAGGTAGGGGGCCTGGGCCCAGCCGGTGCTGGGAACCTGGGAGCCAACGCAGAGAGGGTCACTCATCAGAAGGGCAATGCCAAGCAGAACCACAACTTCCTGATTTTGAACGGTCCCCTTGGCTGCACTGAGGCTGGGCTGGAGCTCTGGGGAGAAGCAGCCATCAGGAGGCTGTGGCGGGCATCCAGAGAGAGATGATGGCGGCTTGGACCAGGCTGTTGGCAGTGGGCATTGAGGGAAGTGGGTTCTCTCAGAGGGAGTTAGGAAGCAGCTTCATGAGAACGGGTGCACTGCATGTGGGTGGAGGAAAAGGGGGCTGCAGGATGTGCGCCCGGCTTTCTGCTTCTGAGCAGCCAGGCAGATGTAGGGACTGCGTGACGAGATGGAGGCATGAGGAGGGGCCGGTCTGAGGGAGGACAGTGTTGAGCTGGATGGACATGTGGGGTTTGAGGAGCCTGAGCAAGTTGGCTCTGGGTCTGGGAGACAGAAGTAGGGCCACCAACAACAGAAAAACCAGTAATGGAACTGAAGGCAGTGGGTGGGATCAGCCAGCAAGCCTGCGGAGAAAAGAGGCCCCGGGTAGGGGGATGCCTAAGGCCGAGTAACCGGGGAGGTGAGGACAAAGCCAAGTGGGATTCGAGGGTCGTGGGCAGATCAGAGCAGAAGCTCCTGAGAGGTGAAGCTCCAGGCGGTTGAAGAGTGTCTGTTGGCAACTCAGGCAGTAGAGGCAGACCCTGTCCCAAGGGGTGGGCCTGGCTGATGGGGAGGAACTGGGGTGGCAGGGCGGAACGCTTGGTGCCAAGGACAAAAGAGCAATACACCCGCAGCTGGAATGAGGTGTGCGATCAAGAGAGGCTTTTATTTACCCCCCTTTTTTTCACTATTTTATTGCATTTACTGGGGTGACTTTGGTTAATAAAATTAACCAATTCTATAATATACCATCTGTATATTATACTGTGGGTTCACCACCCCAAGTCAAATCTTCCATTACCATTTACCTCCCTTTTCCCCTCTTCTACTTCCCTCCAAGCCCCTTTCCCTCTGGTAATAACCATACTTTTGTGGGTCTATGTGCACCCTTATGTTATGTACAATCGCCAAGATTAGGAAGCAGCCCAAGTGTCCATCAGTAGATGAGTGGGTAAAAAAGCAGTGGTACATTTACACAATGGAATACTATTCAGCCATAAAAAAGAAGGACATCTTACCCTTTGCTACAGCAAGGATGAACCTGGAGAGCATTATGCTAAGTGAAATAAGCCAGAGAAAGACAAGTACCATATGATTTCACTCATATGTGGAATTTAATGAACAAAATAAACTAACAAAATAGAGACAGACTCATGGATATTTTCCCCTTTTTCAAATAGAGAAAGTGGCACTTGTATAATGCAAAGGAGGACACCGAGAGAGGAGTAGAGGAAGGGGGAGGAGGAGGATGGGAGAGCTGAGTCAGTGAAGTGGGGGCAGGGATTCAGGGGTCTCACTTTGACAGGGAGAAAGCCCTCCCCACTTTAGTAGGGGGGGAAAATGCAGTTGGGGGTGAGGTTCAGGGTGGAGAGGTTAAGGAAGTTGTTCTGATAACTTCTGATCTGTATTCTCACGACTGAGCAGAGAGGAAGCGGGGCGGGGGGGTGGGGGAGAGAAGGGAAGGTCAGAGGTTTGAGGACTGGGGATCAGGCTCCGGACATTCAGAGGAGCGAGTGGGCCCTGGCCGGTTTGGCTCAGCGGTTAGAGCGTCAGCCTGCGGTCCACAGAGGAGCGAGTGGGAGAGAGCTGACCAAGGGAGTCGGAGAGCCTGGCGACGTGCAAGGGGTCAGCAGACAGGAAATCTGAGGGAGGACACAGGCCTATGGGTGTGGGCAGGGCCTGACCACCGGAGGTGCTGGGGGCCCACAGGGCTCCCTCGGAGGGTTCCATCCCGCTGGCTGGGGCCTTTGGGAGGTTGGTAAGCGCTCAGGAGAAGCGGTGGACCCTGGAGTCTCAGCCGGTGGCTGTGACGATGGGCAAGCGAGCCAGTGGGAGAGCAGGTGTGATGGGGGTCAGAGAGTGAACTCGGGGTTTGGGTCACTGAGCTCATGGGCAGATGGAGGCTGTGGCTGGAGATGGGCACTTGCGTTGCAGAACTGGCCCTGCTCTATCCTCGAGACGGTGGGAGGGGTACCGGTTCCCAGAGGGAAGTTGGGGAAAGTGAAAATAAGGGGCCTGGGGTGTCAGAGCTGGACTATGGAGGCCCGGGGTCTCAGGGTAGGAGTTGGTGACCTAGCCTCCAGGCCCTGCTGTCCTAGGAGGTGAGGAATAGTCACTTCCCCTCACAGTCCCTGAGATTTCCGAGGAAGCTGTGATGAGATGGGGTTCCTCTCTTGGGGGCCAGCCTCACCGGGATGGCAAGCCTAGTGTGTGATCCGTGCCAGCAGTTCCCTTGTGCCCACAGGACCCCGCCTGGTCATGAAGCCAGGGCCCCCTCCCACCCTCTTTCCCACACCCGGGAAAGCTGCACAGCTGTTACCTGATGCTGCCCCCCCTCCAGTGGAGCCCAGTGCTTCAGGGTGTCTGAAGGACCTGAAGGTGGAGGGAGGGCACTTCTCGGCGGTCCTGGCGTCCCCTGGAAGGGCTGGACCGGGCACTCCTGAAGCCAGGCATCTGTCTGTGTGTTCAGGCCGAGTCTTTGGTTCTAGACGAGGGTCCAAGTGCCCCATGTGCTTGGAGGCGCCACTGTGTGCAGAAGCTTCAAGCAGCTAAAATGGCTCTACCCGGCTGCATAGGGGAGGGAGCCAGGGCCAAGCCTCACGGTACAGAGTCCGAGACCGTCCTTGTGGAAAGACTTTAGAGGTTATCCGGTTTACTGTGCTGCTGGCTCTGCTGGGGAAATCAGAGCCCAGAGCAGCCAGAGGACCAGCCCAACGTCACAGAAGCCAGATGCTGATATGGGAGGAAACCCCAGAGGCCGCTCCTCGCTCAGAGCTCCCAGAAATGCTGCATCTGCTTGTTCTGTGGGATTTTCTCTCCTCACTCAACCACCTGCCCATCTGGGGGCAGTGGAGGGAGGTGGTGCTGGGGGCTGCCCCGCAGCCGAGGGTCTTTGGTGGGCGTTCCTCTGGGCAGGTAACAGGAATGGCAGGAGGTGGTCTCAGTGAGCAGCGCTGGCCTCACAGAGGTCCCACGTCCAAGTGCAGGCTCCTGTCTTCCCCTATGCTGCCTCAAATAGGCATCGTTCTTCTAGGTGTCTAACCAAAGTCCCTCTCATTGTGACCCAGGCTTCTTCCTCCAGATTGGGAAGAACCTAGCCATTGCATAGTAAGGCTGTTCTCTAGGAAAACGGGAGGGATGTGATTTTCAGAGACCACTCCTCACCTGTTTCAGCCCCAACAGGTAGGCCTGGGCACTATGGGGTGTTTTGAGACTTGTCTGTGACCTGCAGCACCAGGGCCATCAGCCAGTTAGCTGAGCGGACCTTGTCCCCACCCCATTCATCCTCCCAATTAATTCTCTCTAACGAGGTGCTGCTGCCATAGGGGATCATGTCTTACATCCCAGAAGCCAGTGGGATTTGCCACAATAAGTCTGGACTTGCTTGGACTGACCCAACCTTGCCAAGAGCCACCAAGGTTGTCAACAGGAGTAATCGCCGAAACACTAATGAATCAATTAAGGAACTTGGAAATGGCACTTAGGAACTGGTTCCTAGCCTGGCTGGCCTTGTGTGTGCTGTTTGGCATGAGACTTTCAACCCACTAACCCCAGAGGCTGAGGAAAAAATGTCAGTTGCTGGGCGAGAGTTTTGTTTTGTCTTTTCAAATCAGTATTTCTGCCTATTAAAATGGTGCTAATTTTAAAATTAAAATGGCAAATAATAATAATAGCTACCATTTACTAAGCATCTAGTAGGCCAGGCCGCATGCTGGGAAACTCTGCATGCCTTGTAGTGTTCAATCTTCCTGATGTTCTTCAAGTCCCAGGTATTACTGACCATCAAGGGAAGTTACCTAGACAGTTAGATGTGCACATCTCAGGCTCTGAGGAGAGATGCTGGCTGGAGACATGGAACCTTAGGTGCATGTGGGGAACTGGACGAGGAAGGGGTAAGGTCACTACAGTGGAGAGAAGAGGAGTCCAGAGTAGCCAGGGGTAGGAGGAGGATCCCCGTGGAATGGCTTCACGGATGCTGAGGGCAAGGGCATCGCAAGGACAAGGGGGCTCTCTGCAAGTGAGCTGCTGCAGAAGGGACTAGAAGTGACCAAGACTTGGAAACGGGGTGAAGTAGCTAGACAAGGCAGTGTAGGAGACGACATGGTCGTCAAGTTTCTCTCTGTGTTCAGAGGAGTTGGCTCAGGGACGAGAAGCCACTGGAGAGCAGCAGAGAAAGTTTTATTCCCTGGGTGCTCTGTGAGTTGGGGGTTGGGAGCCTGGAGAGAGGACAATAGTGGGGCACCTGAGTCCTGTGGTTGGCTGTGGTGGGGAAATAGGGGTCCAGAACATGAAAGTCCTATGAGGTACGTACCAATATTATTCCCTGATTACAGATGAAGAAACTGAG